CAGTGAAACTACTGTAACTGGTATCTGTTTACCACCAGTATCTGTAAATCAAGACTAGCACACAATAAGCTTTTATTGTGTTGTGTTTATCTGACCATAGAGCTGCTGTTTGCTCTATATATCTACACACTTTTGCAGAGTAATTGTTTCTTTCCCGGTCTAAATAAGGAGCGGCCGTCACGTGAAATCTGATCACGGCTCGTGTCTCGTCAGCCGTTAAAGCTTAAAATCTCTGCAAAAACAGGGATAAAACGATTGTGTCCCGTCTCACTTTAATGCCTGCTGACCTGCATTTTAACCACGTGTCTCCAGTATGAAGCCATGAACTTATTTTTCTGTATTTATTTATTAAAATTAATTAAAACAAGCATGGATGTGTGTTTATTTAAAAGGAAATACCACCAAAACCGGGCTTAATGTGACTTAATGTCTATAAATGTATTACTAGAGGTAAAAGTATAACTAGAACTCCCACAAAAAGAACAATCAGCCTGATTCTGTGTTTTTTATTATTATTATTCAAGCAGTTGTAATTGATTGTCTATAGTTTTATTTTCATTTACACACACAGTTTTATAATTAGTATCAGGTCTGCAGATATTTGCTGCAGCTGTCTTATCCATCTGCAGCTAAAGGGTAAAACATGTCAGTTTGGCGCCATCTGGTGGCTGAATATGTGCATAACGCCCAAAAACAAATTACAGCAAATTTAGCAGACTTCCAAGTGAGAGTCGATAATTTTACGTTTCAATTGTTTCTAAAGCTGCTCAAAAATAGTTTCCTGTCATAATTTTAGAAGACAATATCATTAAAAGAGGATTTAATTATACTTTATTTATAGGATTTTAAAAAGTAGCAACATTTTAAGACATCCCCATTACTGTTTCTCAATTTTTATTATGGTTACTTTTATTTTTTTCAATTCATGTTCAGTGTACCTTCTTGAGTTCAAAACATTAGACGTATTTACACTTTGGAGACTTTTAAGTTCCACCGACAAGCAGGTGTGTTTTGAATTCACCCGACTGATTGAAAACACCTGACTTGGAATGCTGGAAAGGAATTTACGCTGTTTACGTAGTTGACGTACGATTTTTGTCCCGCGCCGCTGGCGCCTCTTTGTTAGCACACCGGTCCAGAGACAGGGATTATTTCGTGGCGGAGGAAGACAAATGTGAGTAAAAAAACAGCCATATTACGTTCGGAACCACTATGAACTTTCTTTTGTTGATATCAGTTCCAACACTCCATGTTTATCCAGGCTGACCGATAAAAGTCACACATTCACCAAAGTAGACGATGGCCAAAATTTCGTAACAGTCAGCGGCATCTTTGCGCATGCGCGTTTCATTTATCTCTTTACCACGTGATTCATGGAACGTTCAAAGCAGGCTTCGTGCTTATGACGTCACTAAACAGCGGTTCAATATTATAATGAGTTTGTTGCACATTTCTCAGTTTAATATGCAAATCTGTTTAGTGACGTCACTAGTGACGTCACCAAACAGTTTTTCTTATTATAATAAGTCTGTTGTACATTTCTCATTTGCAGTGTGTTCTCTGCTGAAGTAAGGTTATTTGGAAAGTTAAAATAAGTTTTTTGAAAGATTTCTGTGGATAATTCAAGCCTGTGAGTATTTTACCAGACCCTGTGTTTTCTCAGCAAACAGCTTTGTGTGAGTTTCAACCCACAACAACAAATCTGTGTGGAGACATCTGAAATAGCATATTTCTCATTTTGCGCGTGTTCCCTGCTGAAGTAAGATTATTTGGAAAGTTAAAATATATTTTTAAAAGATGGCTGTGTTTAATTTAGACCTGTTTGAGTATTTTACCGGACCCTGCAATGATTTCTTAGCAAACAGCGAAATGGCCTCTGTTTTTAAGTGTCAACTTACAACCACAGATTTATCTGGGGACGACACAAATCCTGCTTCATCTCTGGCACCTCCAATGCAAAACACATCTTGTAAAAGCAACTGGAACGCAATTGATGAATCAAACCTTAAAACAACTAATTGGATGGCCAATTCCAGCCTGTTTGACTATTTTAATAGACCCTGCAACATTTTGCCAGCAAA